TTTTTAAAATGGATAAGAGTTTTTTTTTTCCAAATACACAAAAGATTTGCGCATCGTAACAATGCGGAGTAATTAATAGTGCAAAAACGGGAAGGTACTCAATCGTTCATGATTCTTATTATCAATCTATCCAATCGACCCAGCAGCAGGAAGAACTAGTTTCCAGTCTATAACAACTGAAGCGGTTAAGCACCAACCAACACTAGCTAGTACCTGTATTAATTAAAATTACCCAACTAACTGAACGATCGATCTAAAAGAGACAATAATTAACCTAGCTTATTTTTATTCATGTCCCTGCTGGCATCAAACCCTAAGACCTTGACACCTTGTGCATGCGTCGTGCTTCTGCTAGCCTAGCAGCAGCATGCCTGCCGGCCCCTGACTCTGACTGCATGCAGGATCGATCGGATGTGATCTTGGGTCTGATGGGTCGGTCGTTGATGATTAGCTAGTAGCACTTGCCCGGGTACTTGGGGCGGAAGAAGCGGTTGCCGACGGAGTACATCCCCTGCAGGCCGTTGTCGCGCTTGACGAACTCCTGAACTTGAGCGGCAGCCCCCTGCGTCCGGCCGGGTAGTCGGGCACCCCGCAGGCGCGCACGGGCGACCGCGGCACGTACACCCGGCACTGCTGGCTCGTGAACGCCGACACCTGCTGCGACGTCTGGATCAGGAAGTAGCCGCCCGGGCCCGACTCCCCCGCCACCGTCACCGCGCGCCGCCCGTGCTTGCACCGCAGGTACACCTTCGCGCCTGCACGCATGGGCAAAAGGCGTCGTTTGCATTGTCGTCTCGACGTTTGTTCAGGAGTGTGCTGACAACAATGGACAATACTACTACTGTACCTGGGAGTGGGGACGCGTCCATGGGCGCGAAGTAGCCGGGGTACCTGCACGACTTGCACCACACCACGCCCTGCACGCCGATGCTGAAGTTCACCGGGGGCAGGCTGCTCAGCATGGCGGAGGCGCCGCCGCTCAGACAACAGAGGAGCACGGCGGAGAGGGACAGCAGCACGCACTTGTTGGCGAGCAAAGCCATCGTCGTCGTCGTGTGGTAGCCTTGCTTTCTTTGCCTACAAAAAGCTAGCCAGTATAGTACTAGCTAGCTAGCTAGGATACAGCAGCAGAGGTTGCGAAGACCGGAAGCGAGATGGCTGCAATTTATAGCAGTAGCTAACTCCTCTGATTTCCTAGCTTGGTACGTTAGATTACGGGCCTGTTTTTATTTTTAAAACAACATGGATAAATCTGTTTTTCTCCTCTTCTCACAAAGACATAAGTTAGAATGAAGCTGAAAAAAATACTTTATCCTAGCTCTATCTCTCATTTCTCTCTCTCTCATGTATGTGAAGTTATTGGTGAAGTTGTTTTGCCAAATAATTTTTCAAAACAGTTCAACTTCACTTAGAAAGTTATTCATGAAGCTGTTTTTTTAAAAAACAACTTTACTAAAGAAGCTGTGCCAGACAGGTCCTACGTTGCATTGCTCGTGATTGCCGTTTTGGCTTGTGGATCAGTACGCAGAGATCCTTCAAGTTGCGCGGAAATCAGGAGGGCTCGTCGGGGAATCGAGGGCAAGACATGATGAGCTCGCATGTGGCTTGGAGTGCACTGCAAGCGAACAACTGCTTCGTTAACAGCATCAGTCGATCAGCACAGTTCAGTCCAGATCGATAACTTCCTTAATTAATTACGGAGTTCCAGGTGCGTTAGATTGTGTGTAAATTGTACATAAATCCCTAGCTATAGTAGCCATGTTCGTCTAGCCGAGCTCGATCTAGTCAGAATTGAATGTCAGCGTCAGAAAGGAGTATGCATTCTATGCTCAAGCTTAAGTAAACACAGGACCAGCGTCGACGTCCCGGCTTCTGGTCTGTGTCTGCCCACGCTAGCATCATCCTCGGTTGAACTTGAGCATCCGCGGCCGCCGCGGTCTCTGCAGATCGAGGCCCGTATGGGGTGAATACATAAGAGGCGGATTGATCGTACTTAGGAGTGTGCGACAGAATAATGCAATCGAGCTGAGCGGATACGTAACGTTCAAGGCATCGGATCCATCTCGATGGGGAATGCAATATAGACTGCTGCTGCGTAACTGAATACTATCTCGATGGTGTTCAGTTCGAGGGGAATCCGTTTGGGTTTTGATCTCGCGTAGTGGTAACTGGATGGTAAGTCGCGGCAAGACCGAGTGAGCAAAACGGTTGCGGTTCCAATGAGCCTGCAAGTAAATCCCAAGGGAGGGTGGCTTATTTGGTAGAATTACACCCACTGATTTTTTGCTATAGCTTTCCGATTATCTGATAGAGTGATTTTGTTGATGAGTACGTGGGAAGAACTGATTCTAGAGGAGATTAAACAAGGAGTAGTGGGGAATGGATTTTTTTAGCTTTCAGCTCGCAGTGTAAATAGAGAAGTGATTTTATCTAATCATAGTCAAAAAATCTAATCGTGTTTAAGGGCTTGTTTGCTAGAGCTTCACTCTCTGATTCTTAGCTCCAACTCCTTGGTTCTCGGATGTAGTGACTTTTGGTGGGGGAGTAGGTGGTGGGTGATTCTAGTGTAGATTGAATAAGAGCAATGGATCCTTACCAGAGAATTTGTGCATGTTTTTCTATTTGGCTGATGAGGAATGATTCTCATAAGAAACTACTCCAAAGAGCACTAGTAAACGACCCCTCACTATTTGGATGTATAGGAGCAAATTCTCACGAAAAATCTGAAATTGAGAGCGCACCAGATGGATCCATCAGTGGTAGTACTTCCTCCGTTCCAAAAAATATATAAATCTTAATTTTCAAGGAATACATAATTTTTAAGTTTAATTAGATTTATAAAAAATAGTATCAACATATATATCTTCAAATGGATTTATTATTAAAATATATTTATTATATCAATCATAAATAATTTTAAGATTCGCTTGAGCTTATTTAGAACTAATTTTAAGCTATGGAAACAGTGTTTTTCTCTTCACAACATTTCAATATAAATATTGGCATAAGTCAAATTTCAGCATTAGCCAAATGGGTGAATATTTGAGGTGCTCTTTCTCCCTCGGTGTCGATTTCATACGGATGGACGAGGGCCTTAAAGTTGGGCCACGACACACTTACCAAGATGGTGGACGCATGTAGGCCACGGCCCACGAACCACGAACCAGACAACCAGTCGGTCCAGTGTTTTCTTGGCAGATAAACCTTCTCCCGTGCAGCACCACCGAGGACAAAGCTACCTCGGTACGGCGGTAGTTGCAGTGTTTTGGTCAATTTTTTCGTCCGGTTGTTCAGCACTGCTTCAACGTTACATTTTATGGAAGCACCGGTGTTATCCTCTACAACAAATCAGTATCGCATCAACATACCAATTTCAGCAAAACGAACAAGTCCGAGATAGCACGTATTTTTATGTGCTCCGCCATGTCACTACAAGGACTCTAGGATGGTCTTAGCAAGGCCAGGATAGCACGCATTTTTATCTGCTCCTCCACAGCTCAAGGCAGATTATATTAAAAAAAACTCGACACGCTGGGTATGATAGCCCTAGTCATTGTGCTTAAGAAGAAGACCTTCTCACGTAGGCCTGAGAAAACCTACTCATACGTAGCGGACCGCAGCCACATGAGACTGGATCGAACCTTAGACCCGTGCTTTGATATGGAACATACGAGTACATTTTTATGACGCACAAACATGTGTCTACGGAGGACCTGGAGGTTCTCAAAACCGGCAGCTACCAACCGAGCTATCAGTTCATCCACCATGGCACAGGTCTGTTTTTGACCACATTAGTCTGTTTTGTGTATATTATTTGACCATATTAGTCCCTTTTTGTGTATATTATAAGAGAAACTTTATTTTAAAGTTGCGTCCTTCTTTCGAGGGGTTTAGAGTTTATGGCTTGTTTGGTAGAGATTTTCTCTCAGCATTACAAAATTGTTTTTCAACTTTTAACTACTGGCTTCTCCAAGGGCTCTATCTCGTTTCACTGGCCGGTGAAACTACTTTATGCAGCAAGGAGAAAAAAAAAACAGTTTCACCAACAGAACGACATGAACTTTGAAACCGATTGGAGTAAAAAATGGTAAACTGGATCTTTGACCAAATTGCCGGTTTTCCGATCGAATCTGTCTAGCCGACAACCGGTTATTTTAGCCCCTTCCAACAACCAGATTTTGCCCATACACTTACACCGCTTTATAGCTATATCTACACCGTTTTATTACTATATTTATAATAATTTATTCATTGTAATTTATTGGACAGAGTGATTTAATTTAGGTATTTATATGGATTGCAGATTTCAGAAACATATATGTCAAATTATTTAGAAAAAATTACAAATTATTTATGTGAATTGCATATATCAAAGAAATATTTGTTAAATTGTTCACAAAGTCAAATATCAGATATACAGCTCCTACTAGCCCCTACTGCCACACCCACTACCCTCAGGTCGCACGGTCCACGCTGCACCATCATGTTGCAGAAAAATCATGTCGCAGAGAAGTAATCCTTTGCACGTCGCAGCAGAGAAGGAATCCTGCCGATGCACGTCGCAGCCACGCGATACGTGTCCAATCCAATGGTCTAGAATTCGGTTGTTGCAAGAAGCCAAAACATCCTTTTGAGGGATAGCAGTTCTGAACTCTTTCGTTCTTTTGTCCAAAAGACAGGATCGACTAAGAATCGGTTACACTGAACGTCAAAAAAAAGAAACGGTTACACAGACAAGCAAACTAACCACTTCAGACTCAACAAACAGCAACAGTCAACAGATCAGATACTCCATGGAGCATCGACTAAAACGATGACACGATACGCGACAACAATCACTACATACTACACTCCTTATTTTTGCCTCTGACAACGTCCGGCCTCTTGACCAAACGAGCATCCATCCACGCTGCCCATGCACCCACAGTCCACCATGTTCCATAGCTCATGACGCCGCTCCGATCCCGACCACGTACACCATCATCGCCATCGGACATCGATCAGTACGGCGGGCACTTGCCGGCGGTGGCCGGCGCGTACATGAGCGCGGTCTTGGGGTGGAAGATGCCGCGCGCGCCCCTGGGCGCCGTGGCCGCCCGGTCCCTCACGAGGGTGAGCCCCAGCTTGGGGTTGGACGGGACGAAGGGCGCGGCGCAGAGCGGCGTCGGCGACGAGCGCAGGTACAGCCTGCAGCTGTGCCGGTCGAACATGTCCACGTCGTACACCATCACGAGGAAGTAGCCGTTCTTGTCCGTGGCCGTGCTCGTCTGGTTCAGCACCCGGTACTTGCTCTCCGCATCGCCGTAGCACACCAGGCTCGCCGTCGCATCTGCACATGCACACATGTTTTATTCACAACGCTACTAGCTTTCAGTTCTGTCAGCGAGTAGAAACCAAATGAAATGTAGGTTGTTGGAGACTCACTGGGGAGAGGGGACGCGTCCATGCCGCTGTTGTAGCCCCTGAGCTTGCAGGACTTGCAGTAGATGACACCTTGGACGACGATCACCGGCTGCACCGGCCGCGGCGGCGGCAGCGAGGAGTGCGATGCAGGGGACGGCGCTGGCGCCGTGGGCTTATACTTAGCCAGCTCATCGACCGCCGTCGACGCATGAGAAGGGAGGACGGTGGCGAGGAAGACCACCGCTACCATTGCCACCACGACACCATGGTCCTTGAAAGAGGCCATCGATCTATCCTTACCGTTGAAATTGAAAGGCGCTGATGAAATTGGAAAGGAACTGAGTGTGATGAGGCGTTGTACGAACAAGCATGCGCTAATTTATAGAGAGGGAGAGCTAGGGTTTCTCTCCCGTTTGCTTTCTCATCAAACAAACTGAACCAGCTAGCTAGAGCGGTCGTCAGACACTCAGACAGATTCCGTTCGAAGTTAATGCAATTTTTGTCTGACATGCATACTCGCAACAGACTTCGTTAATTAGGCTTGTATTGAAAGAAATGTAGGGCATGCAATTGCAGGTTAATTTCAGAAGCATGTCATTGACGACTGCTGCAAAATATACAGTGAAGGAACAATGACTGCATAACAGAGCTAATCTATCGCCAGTCAGCCTGCAGCATGTAAAGTAATCTGTTTTCAGCTTTGGCTCTGTATATGAGCAAGCGGCATGGGTAATGACGCCGAAAGGGCTAATATATCGCTAGTCACCGCACTGTAAAGTAATCTGCTGCTCTTTTCTCTATACGGTGGACAGGGCGACGTCGAAAGGCTCTCCTCGCTGCCGTAGCTGCAAGCAGCGGCAGGGCAAAGCCCGAAAGTCAGCCTCAAGCATCACATCTAATTGGCATGCGTCAAAGTCGACCCTCTTGTCATCTACTCACTTTGTAGCAGTATAGCGTGTCATGCTATGTCATGTACTAAGATTAGATGGGTATAGTTGTATATATAGCTTCCCACTGCAACTCAGTGAAGAGAGACAGTTCAGTTTACCACGTCCAGAAGCAGAGCTTTTGACCAGCGCTGGACTTGTGCTGTGTGTATGAGCTGTTCTTAATATCTCCTTCTACTTCTAATCATAATGAGTGAATATACTGGTAACCTTCCTGCTTACCTGTGCAGGCCCAGGCACCAACACAGCATCAGAGCACCGGCCTGTTGCTAAATGAGAGACAAAAGCGTAGCAGACCAGTCTGAAAGTTTACTCTGAGCACATCAAGCCTTTTAACCATCTCAGTAACTGGAAGTTATCATCCTAGTAGCACTCGGTTGGACATGTGTTTTTTTAACCCTGAAATTGAACGGTACTGGGAGGGTAGCTGAGGTTGGATCTCTGCGTTTTGGGGGCATCGGGGAGTGTAGCTCGGACCTCGGAGATTTGTGCGGAACGGCGACCCTTGTAGTTACTCATCCAGACAGACGACATGGGATTAATTTCTGCAGTGGTATGTGTGCGGCGTTACCGCTACGACAAGCAAGCCGGTCGCCCTGGCTCCCTGGATTTCCGGCCTCGGAAGCGTCCCGCGTCCGTCCATCAATTGTTTTTCGCAAAGCAATCCATCTTTGCATTGATTAATCGGTTTGTTCAGGTTTTTTCCTCTTCTCTTTCCGGGGATATCACTTCTGTTTCAATCAAGGATTCATTACTTATTGGACTCAGCCAAATCGCTGGTCACAAGTCCTCGACAAAGCGAGGTACTGTCTCCCAAGTGATCGGATCATCACTGGGATATTTACAACCAAACGCCACAAGGGCATCAGCAACTTTATTGCATGATCTAGGACATACTTCAACTCTAGCGTCTACAAATTCTGACATCAGAAGGAGCCTAAGTTCAGTAACTATGCCGCCCAAGGCCGATAGTCTATACTCATCACCCTCCAGAGCAGTCTTGACTAAAGAAGCATCTGTCTCCAAAATAATTCTGTGCAGCCCCAAGTGAGCCGCAGATTTGACTGCCGCCAAGCAGCCGAGCAGTTCCGCATGAAAAACGTCGAACAAGAATGGTTCTTTTCCAGACCCTGCCAGGATCACCAGTCCTTGTTCATCACGGATGATAAAACCCCAGCCACCGGTTCTTGTATTTGGATCAAATGCACCATTTTCTTGTTTTTTTTTTGAATTACTGTTTCAGTTTTCTTCACGGAACCAGACAGGCAACAACGCGAGCGCGGGAAGTGCTATTTCGTAATGGGCCAAATGGATTAGGCCCACCACACGCATGCAATAAAGGCCCATTCGGCCATGTGACTTTAATATTGAGCCACGTCCTGGGCCTAGCCCACGATGCCGCAGGCTGAAGGCCGCCCAAATTTGAACGGGAAGTGTTACTGTCTCAGCAGCTCGTCTGTTCAATTCTGGCGTGTTCATGGCAGCCGTGAGTTCATGGCGTGTTGACATCAGCCACGTTCACTTCTATAACATGTGTGTACTTTGTATTTGTTTTTCCAATATTGAAGCGCATGCGTGCCCGGTTGCTATCGGTGCCCTGACCTTTTCCTCCGGGCTCATGCGTGCCGCGCTATCGGTGCCCTGACATTTTCCTCCAATCCATGCATCACAATCCATCCATCACTAGTGCCTCTTGCGCACTTGTACACGCAAGCTGCCTACCTTGGCTGCCCAAGACCAGCGCGGAACCCCAAATTGGAGAGACGGGATTGCTGGAAAGGAATTGCATGTTTGTTCTTCTTGTCGCACGTCTGATGACTACACATCCTCGATCCTGAAATACAATGATTTTTTCGGTTATCCACAATCAAACAATTATAGGTTTGAAAAAAATATAGAGAAAACTATATTTTCAAAAAGGTAAATCTCGAAAATAGTTTCAAATGTATTTAAGGAAGCTCATTCAATGATATAAATATTATTAATCATTTCAAAAAATTTGGTCAAGTTTAAAATGATTTGACTTGGGACAACTGAAAAAATCGCTTATATTTTAGGAAGAGGGAGGAGTTGCGTAGATACTCTAAGCAGGAACTGTCCCGCGTATGAATTTTTAAGGGTCCGTTCATGAATTAAACTAACTTAAACTATCAGTACACTTCGTATCCTCTCATTTTGGATATCAACGTGGTTTACAAAGTACTAATTAATCACTAATATTTTGTTATAATATATTTATAATCAACATTTTAAATAGTGGGCTAAATTATGTAGTGGTGACCCTCGCCAAGAGGCTATACTAACTATAAAGGGCAGCACCAACGCACGAAGCTCCCGCTTGCACAGGGTCCGGGGAAGGGTCCGACCACTTGGTCTCTTTTATACGTAGTCTTTCCCTGCATTTCTGCAAGAGGCTATTTCAGACTTGAACCAGTGACCTCATGGTCACAAGGCAGCAGCTTTACCACTGCGCCAAGGCTCCCCTTCTAACTATAGTAGGATATAATGACATCTATTTTATTTAACTAGTTTTTTAAAAAACATGAAAATTCCCAATTAATAAGGAAAACAAATGCTCAACAGGGCTCTAAGAGAACATATTTATTTGTCCTAGTCATTACTTCACATTTTTTCATCAATCGACATACTCAAGGATGACGAACATTCAACATTAATTAAAGAAACTAATTAACTATTCAATGGTTCAATAGATCCTGTGTGAAGTAAAAAAAAACAATGGAGAGACATATATAAAAATGTAGCCATCTATAGTAGATAATGAATTTGGCTCGGCCATAGAGGCGCTTATAATTTCACAGCTAAGCCACTAAGCCACATAGCCGTGTTTAATGCTAAGATTCCTTAGCTACAATAGTGGAACAGTTGGCAATATCAACATGCATGCCTTTTAGAAAGATATGCTGCTATATTGAGATCCATGTTTGTAACACATACCAAAAATATATACCATATTACTACTTTTCCATACAAATGTATTTATATATTTTTAATTATCCGCTCGAAAAGAACACTTGTAATCTTGACTTCGAAATTATTGACTTAATTAATAAAACACCAAGATGTCATTGATTTATGTCGGAAGGGAGTAGCCAATCTAGTTGTGCGAATTGAATGTAGATCATCAACTGATTAGATTCCTTCCGGATTCAAGTTTTTAACTTGATGTGGGTGCCCATAGTTTTTAGTATTTGTTTCTTGATGTGATCACTGGGGTAAGGTATGAGTTTATAAGAATAATAATTGTGCATACATATATACATTATGAGCATCTATGTTTGTACTGTGCTTTAAAAAAAATCATATGTGGTTGTTTGCCACTTGGCTATTTCAGGCAAATGCTTTTATTGGACTAAGGTCTATTCTTTTCAAGGATCACTATTATACTATAGAGTCCAAGCAGTTCAGTATAGGTTCACCTTAGATTAAGCCCTGCACCCTGTCATCAAAGAGGATCTAATTAGTATAACTTTATAACAGAAATAAAGCGAAACCAGCTTAGGGCTCGTTCGGTTGTCCAGAACCATTCCTTGGAACGATTCCCGGCTGAATGATTGACTAATTTGTACAACAATTGGTTAGCTGAAATAGTTCGTGGCTTCATTCCAGGAACGACCGCTTACGTGTTTTCGCGCAACTGAATTTTTAATTTTCTTCGTTTCTTATGATTAGCCGAAATGCTAACACACTTACAGGCCTACAATATATACAACATTGATGCAGTGCAATAGCAGCTGGCATTTTAATTATTCTTTTCAACTTTCACCACCATTTTCTTAGCTAGCTATGTACATCAATTATTACATGAGCTATAGCAAATTTTCACACGAATCAACCGATTGAACATTTCGTCATCTTCTTCTACGCATCTGCTACTGGTGCTTTCATTGATTTGCTGAAAATAAACTTCTCGATCCATGCGACGACACGCATATGCTGAATGTTCATTCCTCGATGAATCCGGTCATCTTGAGCACTTGGTTCCTGACATCGCGGAGGTCCCGCCCTTTGAGCGTCCTCCCTTTGCCGGCGCACATGGAGTACGCCGCCGTCCGGCCAGCCACCACCAGCCTCCTCCGTGCAACAAGAACATCCGGCGGCACGATGACCAAACCGTCGCTAGTAGTCCCTTTTGCGTCTTCGGTACGACGACCTTCTTCGTCGTCGGCGGCGACGTCGATTTCTTCATTAAACGTGGTGGTGTAGTACTCCGACGCCGACCATGGGCGGCACCGCCGCTTCCGGCGAGAGATCTCGACCGGCGCGGCGGCGGCTGGCCGCGGCGCGGCCGCTTCGGGACGAACGGAACAAGGCATAGGCGCCGCCTCGCCGCCGTTGCCGACGACGTCGTCGTCGCCTTGGCTGTTGCCACGGTCGTCGGAGCCGGCAGCAGGCCATAGGATTTCAGCTTCTTCGAATTCCTCCATGATATGATACGATACGATTGATGGCCTCGCCGTCGGGGACGGGCAGGGATGGACGTCCATGGCTAGCTGAATATATAGCGGCGTGCTTTGGAAGGAGGCGGTGGCGTGTCTTGGCGAGCAAGCACTCTTCCTTGGGTGGGAAGACTACTAAATCTGCAATGGCATTAGCGGGCACTGTGTTGGGTATACGCGACAAGGAAGGAAGGAGTAGGGGCCGGCTGGCCGGTTGATTTGGAGTGCGGTGCACACCCTCTCGTGAGCTGCCACCTGGAATCGGCGGATACTCTCCTCTCTCCCAGTTGGTTTGATGCTCGTGTGAGTATGAATAATGTGAATTGTGAAGAAGAGAGATCAAATATCGTGCAGAACTCTGATTAGCAGCACCACACAGTATAAACTCAGCTTGACAGAAATACTCCTACAGAATTGTCACACGGCAAGATAGGTACTACTATTTACTGCTAGTATTTACAGATGATTAATTGTGTGCCGGAGCCGTCAAGAGAAAGGTAATAAGAGTCGTCTGGTTCAAATAAATCCAACACCCAAATCGGTAGTCTCCCGTGTACTGATTTCCATCCAATTTGACCGCGAGTACAAATCGAGGTACACGGTGCACCACCAATCCACCATGCACCCGCGGGGACGTCACCCTTCAATGAAGCCGGTCATCCGGAGCACGGAGTCGCGGAGGTGGCGCAGGTCGCGCGCCCGCTTGCACGGCGGGCCGACTGACGCCCGCAGCGTCCACGCCGCCGGCTCCGCCTCCGATCGCCGACAGCCTCCGGCCGACAGCAGCAAGTGTGGCGGAACGATCACGCAGCCGTTGTCGTCGTCATGGTCACCGCTGTCGTCCCTCGGCCTGCTCCAGCGCCAGGAGCGGGCAGGGGCAGCCTTGGGGGCGGGAACGTCCACGGGCCGAGAGCGCGCCGCAGACGCGTCGGATGGCTGCGCCGCCTGCACTGGCACATGTGACAGGCTCGTCGGCGGCGGCGGCGGCGGCTCGTGCGTGTGGGCGTGGCAGGTCTCCGGCTCCGGCCAAAGCACCTCGAACTCGTCGAGCTCTTCCATTGCCATGGCAGAGATGGCGGAAGGGTAGAGGCCGAGAGCACCGGGCGAGTGCGTTAGGAGCCGTACTTATATCGCGAAATTAAACCCCCACCGCCAACGGGGTGGATCGGCGACTGCTAATTTGCTAGTCGTGTCTCGCGTCTGAAGCTCGGAATCGCGACGGATTTCGGCGAGAGTGACCGCGATGCTGGCAGGGTGAGCTCTGCACGCCTAGCGAAAGTACCCCCGCGGACGCCGGACGCGGCGCCGGGAGAACACGCGTTTCCCAGCGACGCAGGCTACACGCCAACGCGCAACGGTGCTGATGATGCGCACAGCGCACGCCGTGTTGCCGCGTCGGAAAGGAACCCATCCTATTTGGTGGTTTGCGTATGCAAAGCACTGCGGCCACGTCTGAGATGCATGCGACAACGGTTCAATCAGGTGTTTTGGCCGAAATTTGGGAAGACCGGGTTTCCTATGAAATTTGCGAATTGCTGATGGTTGATTGCGTGGGCAAGTGGTGGTAATATGGCTTCGCATATAAGCATGTTTGATTTGGTCCTCTACACAGCGGAGCTTGGCTCCCATATATATACGAGCCAAGCTGCACAGGCACTACCGGCAATGGAGCTTTGCCGTGGCCTGGGGCACGGCAAAGCCACTAAAACACTCGGCAAATCCTTTGTCGAATGTAACACTTGATAAAGGGCACACGGCAAAACTTTTACCGGAAAACTAACTTTGCCGAGTGTTTTTCGTCAAGCACTCGGCAAAGACTTTGCCGAGTGTCCAAAAAACACTCGGCAAATATTTTCCGCAAAAAATAAAAAATAAAAACAAATTGCCACCATCACACGCCACCACCGGCCGCCGCCCACCACGACCGTCGCCAACACCAGCAGAACACCTCTCCCACTCCGTCAGCCCGCCCGGGCCTCCTGCACGCTGTCTTCTCCTCTCTCTCCCAGGGAGGGGAGGAAGGGCCGCCACCGCGAGAGGAGGAGGGGCTGAGGTCCAGCCCACGTGAGGAGGGAGCTCCGAGGAGCAGGGAGAGGGTGAGAGGGGCAAGGAGAGGGCGGCCGTGTGTGTGATATTTTAGGGCGTGCAGGTAGGGCTTGCCGAGTGTCCTGGATCTGGACACTCGACAAAGTTTTTTCCTCATTTTTTTCCCTTCCCCTTCTTTTCTAGAATTTTTTTTATTTCTTTGCCGAGTGCAAAAAAATACTCGGTGAAAGGTTCTTGTTGGTTTTGGTAATTGAGTGACAACCTAGGTGGACTAATTGTGTTTATGTGAGATACACAGATGAGGGTAGGCCATGGAGGTGAAAATGGCTTGGAGATGTTGCAAATCTCACACATGTGATGATGAAGGAGCTTATTGCAGAGACATGACATTGAGTCATGTGATCAAGGTGGAGAAGATCAAGACAAGACTTGGCTTGATGGACCGGTTACAAGCATGAAGGGCAAGTCAAAGGCTTTGGAGTGATGGATGCAGGCGGTGAAGCTTGAGCAAGACTTGGCGCCAATGGGCAACGGTGAAGAGCAAGTAGAGTCAAGATCGATGGATCATGTGATGATATGAAGTGGATCATATCATTGTTGATCGTGTTGGTGCATGTGTTGCATCGACATTGAAGGAGATGGAATGGAATGCAATGTGTCTAGAAGTAACCTAGGGGCATTCATCCATTTCACCGGCCAGGAGATAGGACCGGGATGGAATCACGCCAGAGCAAAAAGGTATAACCTAGGTCATAGGTGTGTAGAGAAGTTTATGACCAGGATAGATGGCCGTACTATCAAGAGAGGAGCAAACTTGTTTGCATATCGGTCATCTAGTGCCACTCGAGTGATCTAACTTTGCATTGTCGCTAGGATCGAGTGGCGTGGCAAGTTGAGTGGCTAACATCCTTTGGGAAATGATTGTGAAAAGCTAACACACATACACATGATGGTGTACACTTAGTGGTGTTGGCACATTTACAAAGGAGGTGGTGTTTGCGGTTGAGATGGGATGGGTGTGGGTCCTTCTCTCCTCCCGCCGAGCTGTGTGATATGGAATTACTTTCTAGGCGCCGGATGTAAACTCTTGGTGGTTGGCATTGGAGCAAGGGTGATGAAGTTAGAAGTGAAAACGAAGTTCATCGCTGTCGACGTCGGTTAACCGACCGGACGCCGGATCTGATCTGAGTGTGACCGGACGGCCAGGCGTCCGATCAACTGACACTCCGACAAAGTTTTTTTCCTCATTTTTCCCCTTCCCTTCTCTTTTCTAGAATTTTTTATTTATTTTCGCTCGAGTGCAAAAAAAACTTGATAGCGATCATACTCGGCAAATTCTAGTGCCATCATGAGGTTGTTTGTCGAGTGTGTTTTTTTCTTGAGGTTGCCAGTGTTTTAGCTTAGCACTTCGCTGGAGCCGCCAAGAGCAACTCTAGTAAAGCGTGAAGAGTTTGTTTGCCGTGAGTGTCAACCTTGTTCTTCCCTGTGATTTGAGAAAATACACTCGACAAACATAAAAACACTTGGCAAATTTGATGATTCCGATAGTGAGGGACGGGTTCAAGCCATGTAATAATAACTTGTTGTTTCGTTCATTAAATCGAGAGAACCAGCCTAGCTAGATCATTTTATTTGGATGAGTGCACTAGAATACGTCATATTAGATTGAAATGAAAATAGTACAAAGATAATATTTATTTTGTAGGAATCGACTGCACACTAATTAATTTTATCATGTCAGTTGGTTAGGTTTTTTGTGGTGGAACCTGTCCACGGGTTTAAATCCTCGACTTGACCATTTCACTCGCACGGCCGTGCTCGTTTGTTTGTCGATTTTCATGGATTTAATCCTTGTTTGCCGAGTGCCCGATTTAATAGCGTTTCCGATAGTGAGGACGGGTTCAAGCCATGTAATAATAACTTTGTTTCGTTCATTAAATCGAGAGAACCAGCCTAGCTAGATATTTGGATGCGTGCATTCCGTCGATAGTGAAATGAAAATAGTACGATAATGTGGAATGATTTAATTTGATCATGTCAATCTTGAGATGTTTAAATCTCGACTTGGCACGATGCTCGTTTTTCATGGATGTGCTCATAGGGGTAGGGTTTGTATACGTGTGTTCATAGGGGTGAGTGTGCGTGCATGTTGAACGTTTGTGTCTGTACTTGTGTAATTCACAAAGAAAATCTTATTCTATTTTAAAATATACTGATATATACCATAAAACATACTAATTGTTTGTTGATATCATACTTGCTTGCTAATATGTTGCATCCCTAGAACTTAGCTATGAAGAAATGTTCAATTTTTGTTTCCCGGAAACCATACTCAGGGCTACTTTTGTATGGCGAGTTATTAAGGGCTTGTTTGGTTTGATCCTGGCCTAAGATGCTCTGGGAAGGCAGGTCCATATGATTGAGGCGTCCAAAATCAAACGTCTGGGATGGAATGCCTGAGTTAGGCAACTTTACCGGTCCTTGAAAAAAACACGGCCATCAGATTTGTTGAGTATGCATGCAACCAACCACGCTATTTGTATTTGCTACACCTTGAAGCCCTTTGGTTGGCAATTAAATGGCTTGGCCTAGGGGTCCAATACTCTAGACAACTGTAATAATGACTTATGAGACAACTCTATGCATATTATTTTATATTTTAACAGAAGGTAGAGAAAATACAACTCTTGATAGCTAGTCTCATACATATAGTCTAAAATTATGGGAATGTATGATATGGAATTATTCATGTTATGATCTAGTGCTTAAAAAGTTAAAAGCTAATATTATTAGAAAAGTTTTTTTAAAGCTAATAACTATCTCTATTTTCTTTGTCCTAGATTATAAAATATTTTGATATTTCTATATTCATAGCTATTATTATATATTTAGATATAATATATATTTAGGTATGTAGTAAAAGCTATGAATTAAAAAAACTAAAAGCGCCTTGAAATTTGAAACGGAGGGAGCACTTTTGAGGCTGCCCAGGTCGAGAGCCAACCATAAGCGATACAGAAGTGATCTCCCAGTCAGCACTCGGCACCAGTCACTTTCAAAATCATTGTTTTTTTTTTTTGAGGGAAAATCATTGTTTATTTTGCTTTTGAATAACTCTTGTCATCTCCAAGCCGTGAATCCGAGTTTTTTTAGAAACTTCAGACTCTGCACCTTTCGTCCTTTTCTGCAGCCTGGGCTTCAGAATAAGGGCCCATACTAATTGGGCTTCCATTTAACCGCGCGATCCAATTTGGCAATGCAACTGGTCGCGCGCGGCGGAGTCTTGGACCGGTCCGCCCTTGATCTGCCTGGGCTTATGGCGTCCGTGTCGCGTCAACAATTTTTTGCTTGCGCGCCATGTATTCGAAGGAATGCCGCGCCACGTCTTCCTGAACACCTTTTTTTCGTTGAAGTAGCTCCTTGGTAGTTTGGTTGTATACCTAGTTCTTTTCAAACTTCCGAGACCATCATTTGACAATATTTGGTGGCAGGGAGCTGCACCATTTGATATTCAGAGGTTGAGGCGGTTTACAATCCCATATATAGAATCATAATCTTTGTGCTTCGATCTTCACAATGTATCATACGAAATTACGAATAGGATGATCTATGTTCTGTACATTGGTGGTTCGGCGTAGAGTAGAGACAAACACGAACTGTATCTCTGCGCACGATCAGATCAGTTGCCCATTGGGTGCCATCCCTGCGACTCTTTTTCTGCCGTGCCTTGATTTGCTCTTTTGTGGGATGTACTACTATACATGAGTTGGTATTTGGACCGTGCCATTTGAGAGGAGGCCGTGGTACGCTCTCTTGGCACGGAGTAGAACACGGTACGACATGAAATTTTTTAGGTCGTGCCACAAATGTGAGGGCCTCATCGTGTCAAGGATCTCGGCGTGATGAGTTGCACGGTCTTGTGCGTATTTTGGGTAATGCTTGGACTGGCACGCTAATAAAGTGGCACGTAAGAAAATTTATAATGCTACAATGCAATTTTCTAAGATTTAAATTTAAAT